CTAGTTCATCCTTCAACAAACATGATCACTTCATAGTTTGCTGTTTATAGAGATTTTTGGTCTTGCAGTGGATGGTCTTGAATCCATCTGCGGCTCAAATCAGAGGCTTTTTCCCCCTCTGCCTGCAGTCTGTCCCTGAGCATTTTCTCTAACCCCCAACCCTACTTTACCCTCTGCCAACCAGCACACCAGTTTGCCAGGACAGTAGTGGCAATATGTACTTGGGCAAAGGAAGTTGTAACTGTGGCTGTGTGTTAAGAGACTGTATTTTGGAAACCCCAAATATTCTTCATCACATAGGCATGGGTCCTGTCTCCCTAGAGATTTAATTCCATTCACCCTTGGATATATTCCTGGAGAAACATTTACACAGTAATATGTGCTGCACCACTTAAAATTGTTAATTGGAGATTGAATTACTTGTCAGCTTTTAAAAATGTAGTCCTCTCAGGTCAGGAAGGAGGGTGTTGGCAGCACCAAGTAGATGAGCTATTGCATTTTTTTTCTCCTTCCTCTCTTCTCTCCTCCTCCCTTTTCCTCTGTCTCAACCTTCCTCCTTTCTTTTGTCCGTATTTTACCACTTTTTCCCTTCTCCAACTTATTCTTTCTAATAGCTATCTCTCTGCCTTAGCCATGCCCTTATCAATAACCTGGCAGATCCCAGAGTGACTTTAATATCTAGAATCATAGATGAAGTCCAGTGATGACAATTGCTCAGTAAATTTACAAAACCCCTCCTCAGATCCTCTTGAGAATGGAAGTATCCTAATGAGGAGGACTGCAGAGAGGACTTAGCTTTGTGTAGCCTGATTCTTAGATGCAGGAGGAATTTTATACTCCCTGCTTCTTTAAATAGAAGATGCCCTGACCCACCAAAGATTGTTTAAAGGGGGAAAGATTGGATTAGGTGTGGGGGGATAAGCCGTGGTCGATGTCATTTTTTTATTCCATCCATATGCATTATTATTTTTCACATCTTTAGCACATGATTGCAAATTTTGGCCCATAAGTCTGAGTTTCCAGCATAATGCTTATATCAGGACAAAAGCAATTTTTTAAAAATTGAGCTAAGTTGCATCTATGAAACTTGGAAATCTCAATGCCTGTGCTGACAAATAGCCTGACAAGTAAATACTACATTTATTCAGTATTACATAGTGATTTCGTTTGCACAAAACCTCACAATGCTCTGCCCCTTCAGTCAAACGTCTGGACCAGTGGGGAAAGGAAGAACGTGTTTATCTTGATCTCCAAAAAGGGATTTAAGGGAGAGAGCAGGCGGTATATTAGACTGTTCTCATTGCCTGTCAGCTGTGGTAAACCTGAGCTGTCTGCAGTGTCTCTAGATAAGCAGCAATAGCAGCAGAGGCCTTAGCATGTAAGACTGCTTTCATTTGTACTTCTTATGTATCTCAAAATTCTAAAGGCTGTGCAGCATCTTTGGTGGAACCTTTAACAATTGTGTCTCTGTTAATCATTGGCTTTTATGTGGTGCCCCTTAATTCTCAGGCCTGCCAGCTACAATGAATGAAGTTCTGGATGAGGCTTAAGTTTATATTAAGAGTGGAGGAAGATCCTCTTTCCTCTCAGATTCAGCCTTTATTCCTTTCTGGTGTGGGCACTGTGTAGGAGACCCTGAGATGGTGTCCGTTCCTATATTTCATAGTGCTGCTTTTCCACCAAAGCTTGGAGGACAGCAAAGAGGGGCCTCAGCAGAATCATCTCTGTTTGAATGGCTCCCATGTTTAGATGGTTATTGATGCTTGTTGGGCAGATACTTGCAAGTTTATATCATGCAGTAGAAACTGCAAGAGGAATAATTTGGGTAGTGGAACATGGCAAACAGTTTGACTAGTAAAGAAATGCTTATGTCAAAGTTCAAAATATGATGTTGATGAGGGTTGTTTACCCCAAATTTTTCTGAAGAAGGTTGGTAGGACTGAACAGTGGTTCTGTGTGTGTACCCTCTTTTCTTTGCCTTCCTAGATGCTGATCAGGATTTGTGTAACTGTTCCAGCGTGCTCGTTTCAGAGTTAGGCAGAATGGATTTTGTCCTCGCCTAGATTCTGCTTCCTTGGTTGGAGCTTTTGTTGTGAAGTATTCTAAAATCATTAAAACCACTTGAGTCAGCAACGACCCCTATAAATCAGGAGCTATTGTGTGCGCCCTCATTCTACTGGTGCGTGCTCCAAACGTAGTCATTTAAGATGAACTGGAGAGTACTGGCTTTCTCTTCACTGACTGTTAAGTAGCTATGATTGTTAGCATTTGTTTGTGGTCAGTGGAGCTGGTTTCATTTCTGTAAAGCTGTTCAGAGACAGCTATTTGGATTACTTTGAGGGTCTCTCCTATAATTTTTCTCTTTACTTCCCAAATCAAATGAATCTTCTCACATGACAAAGACTTTTTTAGTCTAGAAATCATGTTCTTGGTTGTGTTAAGCCCCAGTTAGGTTTTTATTTGAACCTAGAGAAGAAATGTAGAAATCCTGCTGCCTTTTCAGAACAATGCCAAAGCATCAGAGCCCAAGTTTCAGCTAGCAACGGGGAAGATGTGCTAAGTTGAACTCTTGCTCCTTCAAAGCCTGTCTCCCATTAGTTTGTAAAAATATGGGGTGGACTGGGCAAATGGCAGAGCACTTGGAGGTAGCCTGGTTCTGGATGCTGTCTTTTCTCTTTGAAATGAGGAGGAGAGACTTCTGAGGAAGGTGTATTTGAACAGCTGAGCAGCTCTTGGTCTGCCCGGGTCCCTTACTTTTCCTGAGATTGGTCCTTCATCAGTCCATTACTAATTTTGGAGATGTGTAAGATCCTAAATGGTTGGATATTATCAAGTACTAGAGACAGTATTTCATAGGAAAGAAAATAGTGTTTCTGAGTAGAAAATGGCCCCAGCTCTCTCTTCTCGGCAGCAGGGAGTACTTGGCTCCTGACTTAGATTGTGAATATTAGATATTCAGGGTCAGTGCAGTGTCTCCTTTTTATTCCATTTCCCCCTTTCCAATTTTATTTTAATAATTAAAAATACTGCTGATCACACTGAATGACTTCTAGTAGAGAGGCAGCTGTCCCAGAAGGACCAGTTGTGGGCCATCGGGTTTATGACGTCCATAAAACCAGAGCCAGATCAGAGCATGGCCTCCCTGAGTGACAGGGTTTCTGCCTCCACCAGGGTCTCCCATCAACTGACTGCTTTGGATATTTGTTTTGCTTTTGTTTTTCATTCTGTTTTGTTTCATGATGCATGTGTGAGTGTGCATGTGTGCACACATTTAAAGATATAAATGAAACAGGTATGTAATGCCCTCTGCCTGTTAGAAAGACTAAAGCCATAAAAATAACAAACGGCGTGTATTTGCTAGAATGTCAAAGTTATGAGTTTATTTTGTAATGATGTGCTCCTGCCTTCATGAGGTAAACTGGCCGTGGCGGAGGTGTTATTAGTAATATGGACTCAGTGGAGCAGAAAGCCAAGTGACCGAGAGATCAGTGTATCAGTCAGGGAGAGGGCAAATGGAAAGAGACAGCAGGAGAATGAGAAAAGAGCTGCAGTGCCTGGGCTGAGATTAAAGACAGACTGAGAGGTGGGTGGGAGCCCAGTGGTCAGATACGGCCGTCTCCCCTGTTCCCAGGGTTCCTTCAAAGGGGCTGCCAGCATGTTGCTCAGCTTGGGGCTGCCTGTAAAGGCTTGTTCCCTGCACTTCTTTATCAAGGAAAGCAGTCATCTGAGAGCAGTTTTGCTTTCCATATTCATTTCAGAAAAGTCTCTTCATCCTTCCTAGCTAAAGTTAAATGGAACCAAGAACAGTTGGGTCACACTGGGGTTATCACTTTGGTCCCCAACTTTCTCAGCCTTTGAATGTAGGGGCTGACCCAGCATGCAGGGGAGCCTCCCAAGGCTCCTAACAAAGAGGGGCAAAATGGTAGTATACAGGTAGAACTTACTTGTCTTTAATTTATTAGGTTCTCCTCAGAGACTGGAAATGAGTAAAAGTTAGCAAGAGAAAGAAATTTCATGTTGCTGATTTTTTTTAAAGGAGGAAGGGAGAGGGAAAAGAAGAGGTAAAATACAGTAAATTCTCTGCAACTGTTCAGAGTTCTCCAGGGCTACCCTAGATGACTGGCAATTACTACACACTCAGCAGTTTGCAATAGTCAGTGATCAGGCTGCCCAGCTTCCATCTGCTAGATCAGAAAACCTCCCTCCCTGAAAGAAATTATTAACCAACCTTCAAGGGAAAAAGAAACCCTACAATTTCCAAGTCCAAGAATATTATTTCTTTTTTCTTCTTTAGAGAAAACTTTGTAAAATTGCAGGTGCCTTTTGACCTTACAAGGGTTAAACTCCTCCAGGGATACACAGGGGATTGAGTCCCTGGATTCCCTCAAGGCTTGAGAGGGAAGAAGGGAAGGGAAGCAGGCTTGGGTATAAGTCACAGCCATGCACCCAGCACACAAAGAAGACTTCAGACTCGGAGGTTCATGTATGTATCATGAGTTGCTTCAGGGTTTTGCCAGCCTTAGGGCCTGTATGTGGAGACCAGCTTCTAAAATCAGATTTAAGGGGAAAAATATCCTTAAAAAAAAATGAAGAGCCCAAACCCCACAGGATTTTTTTAACTGAGATGCGTCACTAAAGATTGTTAAAAGACAATTTCCTTCGGTGTGTGTGCACAGCAGCTCTGCCAGGCCTGCAGATGGAAAGGCAGCCTATGTCTCAGGGCCCTGACCTACCCACCACTGCCGTTTCAGCTCAGAGGTGAAGTATGCCAGGGGTGCTTGTGGCAGCTGGTAGAGAGGCACGTTTTTTAAATTGCAGTTGTAGATGCGATTGTTAAAACCCGTCTTTGTTTTCTTTTTAGGATAAAGGTCCAGATAGTTTCTCAAAACAATCCACAGAGGCTGGAATCTCTGTCTTGTGGAGAAAAGAACCCATGTTAGTGTGAATTAGGAAATAGGCTTTGTAGAGACATATGTCCTTTCTCTTGCTGATTTTTCCAGGTCCTCGGGCGGGAAGTATACACGTCCAATAACCAGCTTGGGGGCATCCAGATCATGCACAACAATGGGGTGACCCACAGCACCGTGTGTGATGACTTTGAAGGGGTCTTCACTGTCCTGCATTGGCTGTCTTACATGCCTAAGGTGAGCATTTTCTGTCTGGCACTGACGGAGCCCACAGAACTGGTCATTTCCCACCACAGCTCACTGCCTCCGTGTTTGAGTTCTTGTCTTTATGGTGGAGGATTTTTTTTTTTAAATGAACTATTTCTCTGAAAGCTGTGGATTTCTCTTTTTCTTAAGACCATCTTTTGCCTTCTGTCTCTAAAATGCCTTTAGATTTCATCGATTAGGCCCTTTCTGATGTTTTCTAGCCAGGTAAGCCTTTGAGGCCTATCTGGGCTCAGATCCCAGCCTAGTAAGGTTTTTTCCCCATTATGGGTTTTCTCTTTTGTAATAGCCATGCATCCCCCCAAGGAGCTTCCCAGAAAACATGAGCATACTGAAACCAGGAGTCAAAATGTACCACTTTGTGCCAGGCTCCTGAGTGAGACTTGAGACCTGTACGTGCTCCTCAGGGCTTGGCAAACAATTGGGACTGTTGGGTATAATTCCACCTGTGGGCCCTGCCCTCTTTGTCGGGAACAGAACTGTTGTTGCTGAGTTGTAGTATAAGACTGCTGTTCACTGATCACTGTGCTCTTTCCCTCCTGATCTCCTTTTAGAGCATGTACAGTTCAGTTCCCCTCCTGAACTCCAAGGATCCTATAGATAGAATCATCGAGTTTGTTCCCACAAAGGCCCCGTACGATCCCCGATGGATGCTTGCAGGCCGTCCTCACCCAAGTATGTATATGTTTGAGGTGCCCGTGGTACCCTGGCCCTCAAGCTTTTAGGCTTGTCTATCACTATCCAGTTCCTATGCAACAGCATGTGACAAAGAAAACAGAATTACTAAGTACCTAGAGATGAGAAAAATCTGAAAAACGACTCTGTGAACAAAAAGGTGGGAAATCCATCCTGAGCAAATGAAAAATAAATGATATGAGATTTACGAATAAGCCACTGAGTCATAAGCAGTGCAGTCACTTACAGATGTCTTCTGTTTATTCTGTTATTAAAGCACTTATCACGTAATGGGTTCAAAGCTTTAAAACCATTCAGTGTAAACCATAAAATCATAGAATTATAGGACCAGAGTCTTTGACCATATAGTTCCTATAAGTAAATAGAGATTAATCAGGTTATTTTTAGAAAAGGTCTTTGAGATCCTTAAATGTGGAGTATGACTAAACCATCTCAAGAAGCTACTCTGTGTACCCACCTGCGTGTGTCCTTGTTTTCTGATGATACTGGTGTTTGTGTTAGTTATTAATGTAAGATTTTTCATGAAGAGATTTTCCAGAACCTTAAATTCTATAAATACATACAGAGAGAACAAACCCTCCTTCCAGGTTCATTTAATGTATTTTTCTGTCTTGGGGCTGATTTTACGTAACTTTAAAAAAGAAAAAAGTTACCTTCGTTAAGGCAAATGTACATTCTCACTTATCTGCCTATTTGGATGTCGTAACAAAACTTATGCAGAGGTTCTTTTGTGAAGCCTCAAATCCCCCTGCTGTGTTTTGCATCTGTTTTTTCAGTTTGTATAAGGAAGTATCTTTCGTTTTGTTTGCATGTTGGTTGCAACTATTTCAAGGGAAAGCTATATATAAAAGAAGAATGGAATGCAGAAGGTGTCGTTTCACCAAACTGAAGAGTCATTATGATTTTGTCAAAAGAGGAAGAGGTCTTCATAAGGAAGTCTTAATGAACTTTTGTGGGTACCCACTGTAAGCCTGATGGGACTATAAAGCACTTCCATATATCCGTATCTTACTTGACCTTCACTACCACTCAGAGTAAATAGATAACATTATTTTACAAGCTCAGAGAAGTTAAGTAATTTGTGCAAGGTCACGCAGCTATTACTTAGGATCTGGGGCTTAATCTGAAGCCTACTATAGATATTATAGAAAAATCACAAGAGAAGTGCTCATTTTAATTTGAATTTTTACCTATTATCATCAGTGCCTTTTGTTAATCATAATAAAACAATAGTTTTTCTTACATAGCCAAAAAAAATCACCATAGTAACCTGTCATGTTTACACCATGATTATGATAGGAACTATGAGTTTAAGATACCTGTCAGCCTTAAAATCCAGGACTTTGGAGAGTAAAGTGGGTCTCTTTACTTCTGTAATTCAGAACGAGATTCAGTGAGTGCTCTCCTGGGAAAGATGGGGAGCCGTCTTAGCTGACTTCTAAGTTCTGTGTCTGAAATGAATATGGCCTGCGCTTTGGGGACTGTAAAGGCCAGCTACAATAGCCATAGCCCACCAATGATGCCCCCCTCCCCCAAGCAACATATAAGGCAGGAAGGTTTTTAAAGGACAGATATTTCCATTTTGAAATGAATTCCAAAGTTCTAAATCATTGTTATTGAAGTAAGACTCATGAAGTGATCCAAGCATATAAATTTCCAGTATTTTGATGGACTTAGAGGTTTGGTGTAGCACTTCTTTCAGGGGTTGGACAGATCTGTGTAGTTGGGCATTATCCTGGACATTATTAATGAGATCCACAAAATAAAATGAAATTTGTGATAAACTTAAGTTTTCTGTTTTTTGGATAATATTTTTTCATTGACTGTCTGGTAATTCATCCTGCTGTCTGTGTGCAGCTAACACTTGCTCCCAAATCGAGTGACTTCAGATTTTAATTTAGTGGAAGCGTTAAGGAAAGCAGATGATTCCCTGTGATAAGTTAAAGCAGATATCTTCTAGGTGAAAAGTTAAAGTCATTTATTAGAGGAGATAGTGCTGTGATATTCTTCAAACTGACGCCCAACACGAGACCAGAATCTAAACGATCGGCTTTGGGCTCACGATAGAGAGATAATTTTGAAATGGATGATCACATTTTACACTGGGGCCATAGAGGCAAGGAATGTAGAACACAGTAATTACAAGTTTAGTCTTGATAAAACACTCTTCATCCCGTTTAAGTCAGCAGAGGTTAGCTTGCTCGGATCTCCACTTTTAATTGGTTTTGGACTTGGGTTTTTAAGGGGCGGAGGGCCGTGTTCAAATTAGAAGAATCATTGAGAAACCTGAGCTGAGCGGGCAAGCTAGGAAACAGTTATTTGCAGAAGCTTTTATGGGGCCTTGGTCAAACACGGATACCTGTGGAACAAAAGTTTTTTCTTAGACTAAGATGTTGAAAGTTTTGTGTCTTAGTGAAGGAAATTCTATGTTAATGCTATTAAGTGTGTGCATCTTAACCATTTTATTTTTTACTGTCTGTCAAGAATATGTAGGCATGGTCTTACAGAAAAATTCTTCTTTGTCAGCTGTAAATAAAGTAGATATATCCTGTTGCTTTCCAGCAGAGAAGCTGGCTCCCTTTCTTTTCCCTAAATTTGGGTCTTCATCTGATCATTAATACTTACTGTTTGGCTATCTTCATCTTTCCATTAAAAGAAAATCAGTGGAATCAAACAGAAAATTGTAAGCTAAGTTTTAAAATAGAAATAGGCATTTTGAAAACGTCTTTAATGACTTGGCTGCCTTTTGACAAATGTTTGCAGTATCTTGGAAAAAAACACGTTATTTATTTAAAAGCATGCAAACTCCCTCTGGTAGCTGAACGCTGTTTAACAATAAATGATGCTTTTGCTGATAAATGATTCTTTTTATGCAGACTAGCAAATGAAATAGGAGATGATGTCTGAAGGCAGACAAACATTCAGCTGCCTAATGCTTCCATCTATTATAACATGGTTAAAAAAACAACAACAAAACCCCCAAAGTAACCCCCCAAATCCAACCTTAAGTTTGTCAGTTCCGGTGCATTTTCGGCAGATCAACTGTCTTTATCCTTTCTTTGTTTTCTTTCTTTTCCTTCTGTAGCCCAGAAAGGCCAGTGGTTGAGTGGATTTTTTGACTATGGATCTTTCTCAGAGATTATGCAACCCTGGGCACAGACTGTAGTGGTTGGCAGAGCCAGGTAAGACCTCTTTTGTTTTGGACGTTCCTTTTCTTCCCAACTAAAAATAAGAAAGGCAGGGGCCATTGCTAAATAGATTCTTATCAGTAATACTCTCTTAATCTAAACTTTCTAATACTATTCGATTATAGCCAGTCCCAGTTACACTGGGGCACTGGTTCCCAGTAGTCATTTAGTGACATGTTTATTTTGAAGGCTGATTTTGACACTTCCTTCTTGTAATGCAAAAGAAAAGCTCTTTGGGAGCTGTAAAGTCCAACTACAGTAGCCACAGGCCACCAATGACTGCCCCTCTCGCAAAGAGCATTTTTTTTGAGGAGTAGGTGACAAGTGAATCACAGTCTCATCTGCTTCTCTTTGTAACCTGAAAGAAGTCCCTTCATGGCATCGAGATTATTTAAGTGACACAGCAAATGCACTATATTTTCTTATAATCAGATTTGAATTGCCCTTCTCCCCCAACCC